CGGCTCCCGGCAGGGCTGGGGCCGGGGCAGCGGCTCCGGGCAGGGCGGCGGCTCCGGGCAGGCCGGGGTCCGCCGGGCGGCGGGGAGCGTGCTGTAGTGCTGCTGGCGCCGGTAGTAGTGGTGCTGCTGGTGCTGCTGCTGGAGGTGCGGGGGCAGCGAGGGGGGCTGCAGCTGCTGCTGGCCCCCGTACATGCCGGCCGCGCTCGGGGACCGCCGGCTCCGGGGGGAGCGGGGCGGCGAATGCAGGAGGGAGCCAGGGCAGGGCGGCGATTAGTACCTGCCAGGGAGCCGCGCCTAGGGCAGGGCACACCCGGCTGGCAGAGCCCCGCGGCCGCCTCCCCCTCTCCGGGCAGGCCGCCAGCCGGGAGCGGGACCGGCAGCGGGGGGCAGCGGGGCCGCCTCCGCCTCCCCATGGGGAGCGGGGCCCGGGGGGCGGCGGAGCTCCCGGGCTGGCTTTGCAGCAGATTCACCTTTCTCCCTCGCCGCCGGGCCCGAGGGGGGTGAAGGACCTCTCCTAGCAGCAGATACCGTTCCAGGCTTCTCTGTTACAGCGCCGTAATGAAACCTCGCTAATGGAAAAAGCAGAGGAAAATAAACCATACTGCTGTTTAATAAAGCCCTTTGTTAATAATCTGTTTACAGCGTGTATAGGGGGAGCGTACACTGCTACCTGCTACTCGATTAAATGACTCAGATACTTCTCACAGGAGGTTACGAACTGTCCCGCAGAGCACCTTGCCTCTGTAGGAACTGTCGCCTTCTCCCCCGTGCAGCAAACTCTGCCTTCAGCAGCAGTCTGGAAAATGAGTATTTTTCTAAATACATGCATTCCTGCATCTGCATCATTGATCAGATGATCATTGATCATTACAGATGAGCTACAACACAGCACTTATGTAGAAAGGACGGCATTACTTACCCACCCCAAAGCTCACTCCACAGAGAACGTGAACTCCAGCTAGTTTCTCAATCCAGCATATTTTGGTTTGAGTTCCTTTGCCTGCATCAGGCAAGCCCTAACTCAGAACTTCGCTGTGTTCTGCAAGGTAAGGTAGCAATAATGTAATTGTTGAATCTTGTGTACGAAACAGTATCCTTAATAATAAACCTTAGATTCTTAATTTTCTCTGCTTCTTTCCCCTACATGCTTTCTGTGCTTTCAGATCATACAGTACAGTCACACAGAACAAAAAATAGTTTCTGTAGTACCATGTTATGGCAAAACACCTTTGATGTAATGCAGCAATACTGGCTGTGTTATTCCACATGGCGTTACGCTGCCCACTCACTGAAAACTCTCAGATACTAAAAAGCACTCACAACATCTACTCAACGGACAGTTGGGAAGCTATGAATTTTAGGATGAGATCCTACAATGATTCAGTATTTTGAGGTACTGTGACATCTGGAGACATAGTCATCAAATATAAAAAGTTCCATTTTTCTGTCAGGTATTAAACCCAAATCAACCTCTAGTTTACACATAAGTGTATATCAAGAGCATTTGAGGTAAGTTCTATCCCACTGGTTTCCAAGGAACTATATGCAAAGAAAACCTATGTTCTTTTAAAACTTCATTCTTGGTTCACCAGCTTGGAAAAGCTACTGATGGCTTCTCACAAAACAATTGAAAAAAGACCATCTCTTGGAAAGCAACAAAACATGGTTACAACAGTCTAGTCTGTATTTTACACAGACTGTAAGAAATTGTTTTATGTTTCAGCAGGAAACTAATACTCCTGAGGGGGGAAAAAAAGTGCTGTAATTGAAAATGTGGAAAACACTGTTGGTTAGCCAGCTCAAGAATCTTACCAGCGTGCAATACATTGCCCTGTTTAATAAAGAGTGGCTTAGAAATTTCTTACAAGGGTCAGCAGAAAGCAAGCCCGAAGTCATCCTATTGTAATGGAAATACAAAATAACTTCCGGAAAACTTTGTAGATGTGGTGAGGATTATTGGAGTCATAAATAATAACAGTTAGTAATATATGTAGGGTGATCTGTACCAGTTAATGAAAAGAGCCTCAAACAAAGCACTTGAATTTTAATGTGACCAAAGATTTATATGCATCTAAAACCAAGAATGATACTGCATTCTGTATCTTACAGGGTGTTAACCTCTTCAGTGTAATTTCTTGCTGTGACACCAGTGGCTAGGAGGTATAAAACTGTATTTTGATATAAAATAGGAGAGAAAAATACTCATTTGAAGGCCACTACAAGAAATGTTGTATCCTGATGCCTACATTTAAATTATTTGTCACATGGTGTTGGGACACTGTCTGAAGGGGTTGAGGAAGAGAGGGTTAAGAAGCCAGCTCGTTGGCAGGCAGCTGCACCCCAGGAGCAACTTGATGAAGCAGAGATAAAAATCTGCTTTCAGCTGAAAGGAAGGCTTTAGAGATTGAAGGGGAAGTTAGAACCAGCTGCTAAGTAGAGGCTTCGGTTTTCTGATCCTCCCTTTGAAGGGAGAGCCAGAATGCACTGAGGGTTGGTGGAAGGTGCCTCTCTGCAGACACCGATCCAGATAGCCCAGTGCAGCCACTTTGTTCCTATTAACCTCTTAACCCTGGGCCACCTGGATCAGGCTGCGCTGATAGTGGGACACACCTGGCAGAGAAAGGAATCTAAGCAACAAGACGCCTCTCTCCTTATTCCAAATGGCTGGGACAACCTGGCTAGAGTTCTCCTCATGTTCAACCAATAAAAGCTTAGCACCATTAATTGCCTATAAAGATGAAGCAAGGTATTTTCAGTCAAGACTGCAAATGTCTAGAAGTCACTGTTTAAATCACAAGTAGATAATTGTCTTTTTAAAAGACTAGCTCTGTTAAATCAGAAGTTTTGTATTTATAGCAAAAGTTGCTTGGTGGTGGTCATAGCCTATTTTATGCAGGTCAGGCTTCATGATCTTGCCTTTTATGAAACTGCTTGTATGAGCAAATTGCACATTCTGATTCAAATATCTTTTTAATTTTTTTCCAAAGCCTTTGCTTCTCAACTGCCTTTTTGCCCTTAATTCTTTATGGATATGTATGTAATATTCGTCATCAGGCAGAATACAGATTATTACTTTACTGGAAGTACAGAGGCAGAATTAATTAGACAGAATAAATCAATCAGACTTGCTTATAATAGGAATATATAAGGATGGAGAAGTGACTGGTAGGGGGAAGAATGTAAGTGCCTCTAAGCAGTAAAGTTAAATCTGCCCTTTTGCAAACACAGGTGGCAGCCTGACACCTGGGAAAACAGAAAATCTGACTGCAAAGCTGGTACACTGTGAAATAAAACAGGCCTTACCTAGTTTTAGAATATCTTTTGTCCTCTAATTCCTCGTTCTTTCTTTACACAACCACAGATGCTCTGCATACAGAAACCTCTGGAACATCAGGGTCTCAGATCTCCTGCTTGAACCTCCTGCTACATAGGTACATTTGTATGTATGGATCATGCAAACACACACTGGGGTAGAGAGGATTATAGAGGAGCCACTGGGAGATAAGTGGGGAAGGGGAAACAACAGATGAGTATTGAGCAAAGGTCTGACTGGGGAAAACCTACCTAATGTAGAGGAAGCGTTGGCTCTGTGGCACCTGGAGCCCCATCTGCCACATTTCCACAGCAATTTCAGGACAGAGAATACTGAAAGGATGACAGGTTGTTCTTTTTACTGCTGGATCCTTTGCCCTTCTGGTTCACGCCTCTGCAATCACAACACACTCTATTTCCCATGAGGAAAAAAAAAAAAAAAAAGAAAAAGCACCTCTTAGGAAATCCCTTGAGATTGTTTTAGGACAGCACTATTTGGCTGTTTATATTTTAATTAAAAACACAGAAACAACAATACCAGTTCAGATCAAGATGCCATCTAGATCTTAAGCAGTAGCAGATGCTAAAGAATCATCAGAATATTCCAAAAAGGATCTGAATAGGACAAGCCAGTCTAACACTTTTCTCTCAATACTTTTCCACTCACCAACTATTTTTAACTCTGGGTATTTTCATAAGGACAATATGTTCTTTTCTCACCAGTAACCTCCAGTCTCACATATATGGACTTGCTCAATATGTCACTTGAATTCACATATACTTCTTGCACTCACAAAGTCCTCTGGAACTTCAGCAGATCTGCTACTGCTGCACAAATAACCTCCTTTGATTCCGACTCCTAGTTCAACAGCCCCTTGTCCTTCTGTACAACTTAATAATTTCTCCATTAAGCTTTCTCTCTTCCAGGCTAGCAAAAAACAGCCCTATTCAGTCTTCTTTATAGAGATGTTATTCCATATCATGGGTGATTAATGCCCTTTTCATGACCCTTTTCCAGTTCTAATAGATCATGGCACTATATTCCAGATGTGGAAAAATCATGGATTTATACAATGGTGCAATGACTACTTTTTCCGTTCTCTATTATTATCCTAATGGCTTCTAATACTTGATTTGCCTTTTTTGACTGCCACTAAGCAGATGTTTTCTTGGAGTTATCTATCATGACCACAGAGTCTTGCATTAGAGCACTAATAGGCTGCTCAGAGTCCATCATTTCATATGTTCCATTAAGCATTACTGTAATACTCATCCACAATAATTTTTATCTGCTGTATTATTTTATTTAGAAATGTATTTTAACAAGGTACCCTGCAACGTGTAGCTAGCAAGATTGGATCTCAAATGCTTCTTACATGATTTCAGAATTTTAATTCTCTACATATTACAGGGTTTCAGTGGTAAGAAAATTCAGCAAGCAGAAAAGGTTAAACAGAGTTTAAGGTATGTTTTAAAGACTATAATTTACTGTGCTGGCATTAACTAATGATCAGACCATGAACTGCCAGTTGCAAGTTTGAAGGAAAACTCTCTTATCCCATTAATATATTCCTTGTAATAAATTGTGATATCAATTGTAGTTTGAAGTTTATACACTTCAAAAAGAAACTGAAATCTTTGGAATATACCAAAAAATCTAGACTTTAAAATTGCATCTAACAACTAATAGCTAGGATAATTTAGAATCTAAAATTGTCAAGGAACACGCAAATACACTCCTGCAATGCCAGCAGAGAGGAAAAATAATCTTGTATTATAGTATAACAACAGTACAAAGAGTGACAAAATAAAATTACTTTGTTTAATAAGGAGGCTGGTTTTGTGATGGCTGTCAGTATCTTCAACAGCTCAAAAACTCAAAAGATTGTATTTCATTCTATGAAGTGAAATAATGCAATAGTGTACTTACCCTTAAGCAGAAGTCACTCTTTTGTTCTAACCATTTTCCTGTTTGAATTGTTGAGGTTATTTAACAGTCAATTTACTTTGTTTCAGATAATTAATACTATGCATGAGATTGGTGATCAAACAAAAAAAAAACATGTTGAGCAACTTTTCTCCTATCCATTAAAGACCTTATTCAGCATGTTAAGGAGTGAACGCCTCATTTTAATGAAACACTACCAGTCATCGTTTACCAAATATGACTGCAAAAAATAACTTAAGAATATAACATTGTATGCTAAATACAGAATTTTATCCAACAATAATTCTGAGTACAAAATAAATAGCAAGAGGTGATGCTAAACTTTCCTCTCTTCATGATACTGCAAAAGTCCTCTGGGCACCGATGAGTGATATCTATATTATGCTGCCAGTTCTAATTTATAGTTCAGTGATGCTCTAAAAAAAACTGATAAAGGAAAAAAGGCCTGCAGTCATGTGGAACATAGTAAGGAACAGCTGATCTGTGGAGCTAGATACTTTTGAGTTTCACGCCAAGGAAAGATATTACATTCATTATGACCAAAGAGCAGGAAATGAGTTCAATTCCAAAGCAACAATTTGCATTTCCCTCTTCTGGACAGATTGCCTAAGGAACAATCCTCTTTATTAAAAGAGATGAAGGACCTGGGATTGTGACATACTTTAAAATAAGTGTTGGTACCTTGGATTTTAGGAGAACAAGACAGGGACAACAAAAAAGGGTGTTTATTTATCTTTGCTTTTACTTGAACATACTAATATTGTGTCATAGAAAGGGCAGGTCTGTCTTAAAAGAAAATCTGAAATCATTAAACAAGTAACACAGAAAAGTGTTTAGAATTTGTCTGAAAATATTTAAACTGTATAAAAGCAAAGGAATAAGTTCTTAACATCTGTAAATAAAATTTACAGACTATTTTTCCATCCAGTAACCTGACAAGAGGAAAGAATGATTTAAGATAGACTTAATTTCAGATGGATTATCATCTTCACATTATTAAACTGCTACAAAATTTCTATGGCCAAGTGTGAAGGATAATAGGAATTTAAAATAACAAGCGTAATTAATAGGCAGTTCTTTGGTCAATGTACGTCATAGCTATACATAGATTAGAACAAAATATCTAAATAGCTCAGGCAATCTGGTGACAGAAACTGAAATAGGGACAAGTTATCCTACTTCATGCTACTGTGGCCACACTGTTCTAGTATCCAAACAGGCCAAGCGAAATACCTTGTCTCCACGTTGTGACCTATACGTACCTCCTCTCTTTTATACCACATTATTTGGTTAAATATGTTTAAACAGTTATAAGTTAACAATTAGAAAATGTGCTATATTTCTATAATTACCTGAAATTACCTGAAATGCCAACTACTTCTGTGAGTATAGGGTTTATGCTGTTTTGTCTCTATGTAGCATGGAAAAGTTTCCAGGTTATGGATGCATTTAGCAAGCTTTTGGTTTTGCATAACTAAAACATTGCGCAGAATTTCATTTTAAAAAATTACTCAATTTTAGCCCTTAAGCTAGGACTTCTCTTTTGAGAAAGCTTACATTTCTAATTTGTCTCTTACTGTTCAGGTAGAGAGCAAGAAACCAACTTGATGGCTTTTTTTCCTCCATAGATCTGCAGTTGCTTCTCTCTGATTTCAGAAACAGAGCTCATGACAATCCTCCCACCTCTGTTTCATCAGCTGATTACAATGTAGATCTCCTGCAAGGTAACACATTTTTGGATGATGGGCGTTACTCTAACCAACTTATTATTAAGAGAACAATTTTATGCATGATCAGCAACTTGGCAGCGTAAACAACATGAAACAGTTCTTTTAAATAGGACTTGATATTTTGTTTATGAGAACCTTCATTAACTGGGAGGCTCTCTGGCCTTTACAAGCCATTTAAGCATAAAAGTTTGCGCTATCTTTTAAAACCTTTTTGCAGTAAAGACTGTTTATCTAGCAGAAGAAAGAATTCAGATAGGAGACTTATGTAAAGCAATGAATATTTGGTTTTCTGATTGTGTTGTATGATTTGTGGTGTGTATTGGAATACACTGAAGGGCAACTTTTTGTTCTATCTTTCCTTTTGTTTTTTTTTTAAGCCCACAAGATACCTGACAAGTTTTAACTTATCCTTAATTCTTCAAAAAGTGAGATTCTTTTGCTGATAGGGACTAAGTGCGCTGTTATGCTTAGTTTTATAACTACTTCTTATTTACGTTTAAAGTTGGAAAAGAGTAAAAATCAAAACATTTCAGTCAAATTTATATTTTAATTTCACAAGTACAAAGACTGCACTTCAAAACCACTGGCTTTCTTGAGGAAGGTGTTTTTATTTTGACCCACTAACTATCTATTCTCAGACTCGCTTTTCTCATGCCAACTGTAAGCAGCTGGCCAACCTGTTTTGTTTCTCTACCTGAACTAAAATACAAGAATTAATTGTGCCAAGGTACAACTAACCCTATGCCATGCTGCTAGTAAAACCACTCACTGCCCCAAGCCAATGAAATGTACCCAGTGTTAGAAATGGGCTTTAGGAAGCACAAACATTAATCCCTCTTACTTCAGTATCTCACCCTTCTTTATGTACACTATAAGTCTGTGAAAATGAAAGTTGAAAGAGGAATGATTAATGACTGGTGCATCAACAACGTGCATCAGACAAGCGAACAGAGCATTCCTGACAGAACAAGCCAGGGCTCTGTCATCCCATGCTATCACTAGCAGATGTGGTTTTATTTCTAATTCTCAGAAAGGAGCACAAGCTTCAGAACGTGAAGCATCATCTTGGACTGTCAAACTTTGGCTTTAACAACATTTCAGGAATTGTGTAGGTACACAGCAGAGTAAGACACAACTCACCATTTTGCTAAGTATTGTAACTTTGACCCAGAAAGCATTTTGTAGTGTTAATCTCTCAATGTAATTACTCTTTTCTCAATTTCTGTAAATTTTCTTCTGGATCAAAAAGGTCATACAAAATAATGAAAATTTTAACTCTAAGTGCAACCTCCCCCATATACCTTCTGCTAGACAACCACATTCAGTTGTGTTGTAAATGATGTTTTAAAGCAATTTACCAAGATATGGAGGATTACTCTGTTATTATGAATACTGTTATGCTTTGCATCTTCCTCCAAGGTAGGTCTTTATACACACGTATTCCATATAAGGCTACAGAGTAAGAACAAAGTCCATTGAGCAGTGAGAGATCAAAGAGTTTTGCCTTTCACTAGCTGCCTTCTGTTTCTTCAGTTAAAGCAGCTTAACAAATTAGTAGTTTCCTATCATCTCTGGATACTGGTTAATCTAAGCAAGCAGCACTTTGAAGAGGTTCCCTGTTGTGAGAATACTGAAGATTTACATAGGTATATGGGTTTACATGTGCACAATATCAAAAATTCATGCTGTTCTTTAAATCTACAGTAGCTGATGCTTTTATGTCTATATCAAATTATTTACTTTTTCACCTAAACATTTTTCTATAGTACAGACATACATTTAAATATTACCAGATTCTGTTTTCTACATTAACTTACTCATACATAGGTAATACTGCAGCTCTCCTGCTCTGCTCTCTGCTATCTGGTTCACACATAATTGTTCTCTTACAACTATTTTTATTTGCACATTACTATATTTGTCAAGAAAAGTCTTTACTTGCACAGCTTGTCAGGAATACATGTACTAAAAAGCAGGCATACCTATACAAACACATCAAAACAAGCCTACGCCAAGATGTAATATTGCTGCATTACTTAAGTTCTAAAGAATCTGCTTTGCCACTCAGTTTCTTTAGTCCTGTAACAATGGCATAACGTAAACCCTTCATACAAACTTCTTAGAAATTTACAGCTTCTGGAGTATATTGTGTGAAACAGTACTTCCATTCTGCCTGAAGTGTGTTTTCAGCATTCAGAAAACAAAACTTCCCAATCTCAACTTATCTGTTATACAGGGCATTTATTAACCAAGTGTTAAGCTGCTACTGTTGCATGAAGAGTCAGGATGCTGGACCCTTGTTCTTTGAATACTGGCATGCTGAACCATGCTGAAAGAGGTGAGGAGGTATCCAAAGGTGTGTGCATGGCCCTAACCCTCAGGCAGCTGAGCTAGCAACAATATTTTCACTTCTATTTAGTCACCTTATTCAGTGACCTACATGAATTGATACAAGTATCTTGGAATATTTTCAAACACGGTCATTTCCCTACTTTCTATTGCTGCTAGACCAGGGAACAAGCTAGAATCTTCACTCACAAACAGGTTCAGGCCTTAAGCCAAATTAAAAGAGGCTTAAAAACTTAAAAGAGACTGTTTTAAGACTACCCTGTTTTCATAAAAGCTTAAAGGCACCATGAGATATTTTGTAATACCTGTAATGAAAGTGGTCCTTACTTGAGAGGCTATTGAAGATAATCAACTTCCTTTGCAAGGGAGGTATTGGTCTTCTGTGCTAATTTATACTATCTGAAAAACAAGATTTATTATTTTAAGATAAGAATATTGCATTGTATTTTTCTAAAGTAAAACCATATGGATAAATAAGAGGTGGCAAGTTTCAGACACCAGGTCTTTGTCTGTGCACACAGGCTATGCTATGCCTGGCTTCATTCATTTATCAGTTATTCTTATCAACTGTTAAAGCTACTGGTAAAATTCTTACTCAATAATAACCACCACCACCACCTTAACTGTACCAGAAAATATGTTCCCCCACTCCTAGCAGCCCAACTTTTCTGTCTCTAAGGAAGATTATCAAGGAAGTAGAATGAAAATATTTCACAGCAAAGAGCACATGGCTAAAATAAACTTAGCATAGTAGAAAGAGGGATGTGCTTTCCAGACAGTGAAAGTGAACAGACAGAATTATTGTGTTCTCCCCAACAAGCTGCTAATTCACAGAACTACTAATTCTGCGGTCAGTACAATTTAGTCTATCACTTCCAGAACTCGACTTAATAATTACCTTATTATTTTAATTGCAAGTCAGCTGATAACCCAACTGATCAGTCAGAAAGACACAGAAGAACCTTCTGCCTGTGGCCAAAGTAGAAGTTAGTCATCAGGAACCTTTCATGAACGATCCATCAGTTCCCTATCTATTCCACCTATCATGCTGTTTCAGAGATGGGACTGATCCACGAGCATCCAGCCTGTAGTTTTATGAACTGGGAAGAGTACTGGAAAATCATCAACTATCAACACTAAGTTTTTCTAACGACAGGAACAGAAGAAAGAATATTCTTTAAGCAGGAGTGACTCGTTTAAACCAGTTCTGCAGGAAGCTTTATGCACCAAAGATCAAGAGGAATGGTAACGTGCAATCATTGAACAGAATAGGAGCCAAAACTTGATATAAGGCACATAATGAATAATGCTATACAATCAACTTCTATACACCCACAATGTATCTAAATTTATAAACCGTACACACCATTGGATAAAATTTAAATGCATTTCCCATCATTGAAGTGTACTATCCAATCTGCTCTAACACAGGACCATATTGGGATTGAGTAGACCATTCTGTTTGTTAGAAACTTACCAGAATGTGCTGGTATTTATATCTCATAAAAGCTGTTCCGTAAACACAGTACAAAGACCTCTGATTTCACCAAATGCATAAACACGTGCAAGGAATTTCACTTTAGGATTTCGGACATGAAAGCTCTCTCTCTGTCAAAAGAGATTAACTACCATTCCTCCATCCCAGCGAATTAAACATCATCCCACCTGGAAAAACCATCCTGCCTTCACAGATAAAAACGTCAGAGTTCTAAATGACAAACTCTGAATTTGCCTATGTCCTATACTTTAAGGGAAAATGTAGTTTAGCTTCCTAGAGTCAATAGTTAGGGTTTTTTTTCCATCTACAGTTTTAAGCGACAAGATTTTGAGAAAACAAAACTGGTCTCTGTTCCTGCTACATTTCTGTGTGGACTTACATATGTGAGTGTATTTTTTTATGGATGTGAAGCATGTAAGAATTTCATTCATATTTTTAAAAATCCTTTGTCACTCTTAGAAGAAAAGTGAGAGAACTACAAAGCACCTTGATTATCTTTGTTGCATACAATTGCAAAACCTGCTCCTCCAAGTCACACAAACTGAATAGGTAACAAACCAATAAGCCAACAGAATAAAAGCGTATCAGGGTCATAACTTACACCTTGACAGGGAAAGGAAAGAAATCTAACTCAGCCTCCGCTAAGGGTGAAGAGAAATGAGGCACACTTTATTTCTTCACTTAATTCATCAACAATGGAAGGTGGAAGGGACCTTGACAGGTTATTTCATAAATTTGCTTGTGCCAAGGCAGGATCAGCTATACCTAATTGCTTCTTAAAGATTGTGGGTCCCTTGCTAGCAGCAGCATAACCTCTATAGACAATCTGTTCCAGTGCTTGGTGTCATCAGAGTGCTTTCCTCAAGTTTAGCTTAATTTTCCCTAGCTGCCACTTAAGACCATTTGGTGGTGAACAAAGAAAAAAAATGTGGTGAACAAAGAAAAAAAATGCTATTTTCTGTCACAGGTTAAAGAATGCAAGACAACAAAGCTAATAATTTCAAAGAAATACCCACTTAAAAAAAATCAGAACAAAACAGAGACTCTCTCTAGAAATACCTGAAAGAGTATCAAAAGGAGGAATAACTATCTTGGTAGACTATCACTCTCTGGACAAATCAAACACACTCATTTAGAATTAGTCAGGGGTTGCAAAACTACTCAAAAAATCCCCAAATCTCTACACTTAGCCTAGAAGCTGTTTGGGTTTGCTCAAGAAGTTACGAACGACCCTTAGGCCAGACAGGATGTTTGAGCGCTGATTGCACAGGGAAGCGTTATCTGCTTACCTGGGATGGTATCCTCCTGCTGGGGGTGACCCTTCCCTTCTCCAGGAGTGACCTACAAGGGACTGTTAAATCAGGAACTAAAATCTTTTCTTATTAAAAAAAAAAAACAGCAAGAGCCCTATTGTAGTATTAAAGCACAGTGCTTTATTCCTACTTGCTCTCTTCAAAATGGGAAAAAGGATGACATTTCATTTCAGATTTGAGATTCACAACCTTTATATACAAAGTAAAGGTCAGCATGGTGCCATAATTACCTTTATAAATTCTTTCACAAGAATTTAGAATTTGTTGCAGAATGATGAAGTCATTACCTCCAAAAGTTGTGTGCTAATAGTCTTACACAGTAACTCAAACTTACAACATCATTGTAATTATGATGAGAGTTTTTACTCTGTGTAGCATTTGAAGACAAACAATAAAATACAACGTTAAGAATCTTCAACTTTTTTCCTAAACTTTACAAATTATAGATTATGTTTTACGTCCTGCACCGTACTTCTCCAGATCAATTTTGTATTATAATTTACGGAAGTTACCCAGTTCTGGGATTCTTAAAATATAAGCAAAATTTGAAAAGAAATCTTGAATTTGAAGTGGCTTTATCACTACTGATTGGGCTAATGACTGAGCAAAATACAAGGCAAAGGGAAAGTGAGCTGATAGAAATTACCTAGAAGGTATTTATATAGAAAAAAAAAATAAATCTCAAAATAAAAAAATATAGCACGTAAGTGATCTGGCTAATTTAAATGAAACATTTTTGTGTAATTTTGTTTCATAATTCAAATGCTTATAGTCTGATAATACTAGAACAGCAGAACAGACCATGCTGTGTAACTTCCATTGCAGACCGGTGCAGAAATGTAAGTATTTCCGAATTATTTTAGCCCACTGCATTGGGAAAGATAAGTGACTGGGCAATTTTACTGTGACTCAGATTCAAACATTTTGGATTTGTAACCGTGGTGTTGTTTTGAATAGATGGCAATACACGTCGATCTTGTGCAAGCATTTTACAGAGAGATTATGGGTATAAATCAGGAAGAAGGTGCTTTGTAGGGTGGAGTTAGACTTCAAAGACAGTGAAAGAAAGAACAGTCATCGCAACACCTAACAGCTGTCCTTCTATTATAATTAAATAGTGCATTAATTTCCAAGTGTTATGACATTTAATCAGCTATATAAAAATAATAATAGTAATAAGAATGATAAGCATCATCACCAAAGTTGTTATGAGCGCAAGCCAAAATTACATGCTCAATGTTTCTAAAAGTTGTAATAGACAAGGTGTTCTAGACCATAAGTACTCTCCAAAATATTTTCTTGGAACATATCCTGATAAATTTCTCTCTTTAAAGAGGAACTTTGTAAAGAATCCCATAGTTCCTACTCATTAAACAAAACAACAACTATGCTCTGCCATAGTATTGCATCTATGTATCCTTATAAAGATGTGAAATATTTTTTTTCTTTTTAGCCAATACATATTCATGAAAAACTGTCATTGTTAAATGATTCATCACAAAGTGTAATACTATAGCTGTAGACCCAGAACAAGAATCTTGACTTTTACACCATTTTCCTATCCTGCATTAGAAAACGGATTAGGTATATGCATTCCCTTCTTCTATAGTATAGTGATTATAAAATAAACTGTCCTTCAATAAATGGGCACTTTAAACCCTAACCCCCAGACCTTTTGAATAAAACACTAAAACAATAAAAAGATTACAGGGATGTAAATTAGTACATCTGATCGGTTTTGCTGTAATTCATGCTCCAGAAAGGAAAAAAAAGTGCAGGTTTTGAAATAGTTGGGGTGGAAAAGAAAGGCTGAGTTGACAGACCTCAGCAGTTCCTACTGCAGGTTTTGTATCTGCTTCTAAGTGGCTTTCTGGGCTTTCTGGGCAATCAAGCACCATGCAGGACTTTTCAGGCTCTTCCTGAGCTATACAGCTCATAGAAAAGGGTCAGCACAGGAGGCTAGAGCTACACTAAAACTCCATCTACAAGCAGTAAGTGCTACTCCTGTTAGGATGAAGCTGACAGGTTGATAACTTTCTTTTCCTTGTGCATTTTCAGTTCCTTATGGCATGTGTAATAGCTGGTTATTTGAAGCATTATTTCTTTTGCTGTGAGATTATGTATCTTTGTTTTTCAGTGAGCCACTTTCAACAAGTGTAAAAACCAACAGTGGTATCCTCATTACTAGTCAGGACTATTAGACTTAGACTATTATGAAGAGTTCTTGGAAAAGAACGGTATCCGTTATGTTCCAGCCAGATTTCATAAGGATAAAAACAGTCATAGAGAGGAATCATTAGGAGAAACCATCATTTATTTTTTTTTGAATGTAGAGATATAATATAAGGTAATGTCTGAATTCAAAGAGCCACCTTGCTGTAGAGAAAATTCACTCTCAGAAAAACAAAAAAAAGGGAACGTGGTCACAAAGAACTGGAAATACCTCCCAGTTTTGTCCATGTAACCAAACAAAAATACTTCTGCATATTCTACATACATGTTCATCCCTCAGTTTGATATGCTTGAAACATCAACCAGTCCCGCAGCTGGCAATTAGGCAAGGAATAGTAACTGGTAGGAAGGAGGTGCTTTCTCAAAGACAGGCTTTTAAAAATTATTTTAAAGAACAGCTGATTAACCTCCCTTTCATATATTCTTGCCAAATAGTGACAGTACAGAATTTTCCAGTGAACTTGGTCTTATCTTCAAGACTACTAATTTGGCAAAACAATTACCTCCAACCCCTTCCTAACAATCTCCAATTAATTAATTTTTTCTTGTATTATTATGTACATAACAGCCAAATGATAGTCCTACCAGCATCAGTGTCTTTACTGGATGTTATGCGCTGTTTCCCACACTTTGCAATGGTGTTATATTTGTTATTTAGAACAAACCCAGATTATTCCTGGAACTGTGCCTATAGAAACTACTGCTGTAATGTGTTTATATGATATATAATTATAGGCATGTTGTAACCTGTCCATAGCCACTGCAGAACAAGTTGCATTATCAAGAACATAACCAGTCCCTGGATTAACTATTCAATCTGATATATTCCCTTTCTTCAGTAGCTAATGTCAAAGTATTTAAATCAACGCAGGTTACATTTTTGAGCTTCAATAAAAAAAATAGTAACTGTATAATATTCCAAGCCAATAATGTGACATTCAAAACTACTGAATACTCCTGAATGCAACATGGATTTCAAGCCACAATGTCTGAAGATTAGGCTACCTAGTTAATGTCAGACATTTGCATTTGAAAATACCTTCCAAAAAGCACAAACAAGATGTAGGAAGAAAGATGGTACTCACCTGCCAATGGGGTGAGTCACAGTATTCAAGCCATTGAGCCTATGTACACAAATATAAATAGTAAAAATCAGTTATAACAGATTATTATAGGTTTTAATATAAGCACTGTGTCAAGATAAATAGTTAGGACTGTCTTTAATACATATTTCCTGTAGGGAGAAAAATCTTTATTGAAATAACATTTTAGTTAAAAAGAATAGTGGAGTAGATGAAAGTTTGATTATTGAACAAACTATTTGGTGTACTTCATATGTAGACTTCATATGTAAACTTTAATACTGTTTCATACTCAGTATGTCATATTTTTCTGACATCAAACATCTAAACAATGCCGTTTTGTATAAAAATTGTAAATACATGCCAATAATTTTCTGTTCATGCATTCTTTTTTACCTTACACTTTTATAGAAGCCAGTAAGTTATCAAGAAGAATTTTTAAATCACTGTATTCCGTATGAATACTTTTTATCCCATATATTAAAGATCTGTTTCTTGCATGATGTCCAAGACATTTATAAAACCCTGCTTTAATAATATCTAATGAACTTTTTTTATGTGTTATTGTATAACCTGTTGCTACATATACACCATAACACCACAGTTAAGAAGTGGTTCTAATTGTATTTTTGTATCTTATGCATTCACATTTACAGATTAATCAAACCAGAATACAAAGTTTAAGAGCCACTGCATTCAGAGTGGAGAGGGACAAGCAGGGTAGGATCTGGTGACACAGCTTGTCATTTTATTTTTCCTTTACAAAATTAATTTTGGATCAAATCCAAGCCCAGAGAGAGATGTATTTTGCAATTATGAAATGGATGTGGTCAAAATAACACAAGAACAGCTGGTCTCACTAAAATGAGTTACAGATGGCAGAAATCTTGCAATAGCAATCTTACAAATTCTGGTAGAAATATTGTATGATCTGCCTTATCAATTCACTGAGTGCATTCCTGCAGATGTGGGGAAAACAACTTCTATTCTCTCGTATCTGGCAACTTTCTAATTTGTTACTCCAGTATTATTTTGTGTGCGTGAATGAATAAATTAATTTAGACTTGCTCCACACTTATAATCAAGCGCAAGAAATAATTATACAGTATTTTCATATGGAGTTCTCATAGTGTTTTCTGAGACATAGAATAATATTATATCATGACATCATTGAAGATTATACAATTAGTTAAAGCCAGCTGTTGTCTTGTGCTGACTGCTGAAGTGGAAGAAGGAGAAAGTAAAGAAATACACAGAAAAAGTACCTTACTTGGGTAACCACAATTATAAGGGCATTACAAGACATGTTCGAAATTTATTCTTCCATGGAGAAATTCTAAAAGAATTGCACAGTAGCACCTCAATTCCGTGCTCTTATAGCTCCAGCTCTTCTTTCCAAATTCTATGCAGGTTGTTATAATACACAAAGCTTCAAGATGTTTTGGTCAGGAAAATAACTCCATCTTGTAACTCATTTTTAAAAATTAGTTTTGTACAACTGCAGGGTGTTCTTTTAAAGGATATCTATCTTGCCTTAATTTGAACCAATATAGGAAGTATAATGCACATAATTTCACTAGAGAATGTTACTTAATTACAAACATACCCAATTATGTCTTAATTATATTAATTTCTGTTTATGAACATGGCTAATACTGTATATTTAATACACCTAGCTTTACTCTAAACATTAATAACACCTCAATATATAAAGTATTATAAGCCATTTCTACCAAAAAACCCCCACTATTTTAGTCTGCCAGCTGGTATGCATGATAGGAAAATGTGTGTTTATGGGATGATCCTTCTTTCTCTCAAGTTGTTACAAATTTTAGGTTACTCAAGATACAACATTTATACCTATTGCCTCCACTTTGTTACGAATTGCAGAATTCCAGTTCAGGAAGTACTAATATTAAACTATCATTTCTCACACAATGCACTCTAGGCAAAGCTGATCCCAGCTCATCACAGTGGCTTGAACTGGATGACTTTTGATGTCTCTTTCTCTATGATGTGTAAATATGTAAATTTAAATGTATGTATGTGCAAATATGAATTTATAAAATAGATTATTAGGCAAATTATTTTCTGAAATGGTCCTTTCTGCCCATTACAATATTCTGCAGCATGATCTTATCACAACTGTTTTCTGGGTGTTTTCCAGTCTGAGGGGGCATATTCTGAACTCAGTTACATGGCAGTAAATACTGAGTAACTGCCCTGAAGTTAATGGAATTACTCCCATCAGAGCAATGTTAAGTGGAAAAATTTGTCCCTTCTCCATTTTAGAGGCATCTGAATTTTACCAATCAAGTGGAGATAGGGAACTCTTTCTAATTACATTCTATACCACGAATACAATGGTATACATAATTATTGTGGTCTTCTGGTATACGCAGAGTATATACAGTAACGTACGTTTGCTCTATGTACTACAGGAAGGAAGGAAGAAACAAGAAAGCCCACCACACACTCGCAGCTCTGCACTGCTAAAGCTGTCCTGACTCTGTAACCCTGCCCTTTGAATAATTCTGCTGACATGCTCGGAGAGTTCACATCAGCAGGGGTAGCAAGCGTTGTCCCTTTGTGTAAAGGCTTTTTCTGATAGAGGGTCATTCAAGATAATTCTGCTTATGAAGACAACTGTTCATTTGAGTCAACTAATTTTATAATTACGTGTTAGTCTTAAAGTGGAATTTTGGATGTTATTTTCTTTGATATCTTTATGACTCATACTTCAGTTGAGCAAAGCAAGCTACAATTTGCTAATGCAAGTGTGTACAAATTTGAAACTGGTTAGGTAGGGTGTGTCTGCCTACGGAAACATACATTTTCTTACAGTTTTCAGTAAATGTTACTGGTGCAAAATTATTTGGCTACATCTTAGCTGAATTTAAATATTTCATAGTTTGAATACCATTCTTTAATTCAACTGGGTAATTGCTGAGGTTCAGAACAGAAAACTGCATTAATTATGAAAATAGCAGTGGCGGAGTAAGAAGTCGTCTATCTCCATGGGGTCACATCAGTTTTGTAACCAGTTGGCATCACTTTCCATTTTTTGTACACACAGCCCTGCTTCCCCCACATATCCCATGGAAAGCAGGGGACAACTGGCTTTCATTTGAGAAAATGAAGAAATTACTCTTTTTGTTTTCCTTTAGGCTGTAGCTCATACTTTGGAAATAATGGAGCGAATCCGCTCCCTCTTTACCATTTTGCAAAGACAAAGGGGAGCACAGCCCACAGCTCATTTCTATTGCTATGTGGAGCGTTGCCAACATAATTTGCAGAGATTCATAGTTCATATTATGTAAGTATTATAGTACAAGTTAGACAAACTCACCAGATACAACAAAGAGTAGTAGCATATAGGCACTTAGAGCTCTGCTTTCCCATTCTGTACTTGTGCTGTTTGGCTCAGGTGCTGGAAAAATAGACAGGGTACTCCTAATCTGAGAATGGGCATCTTTGGAGGATAGGTAACTGATATAATTTTATATATATTATATATATGTAATATCCTATATAATGCAAGAGAGTCTGTAAACTACTTTGGTCATGCTAATAGCCAAACAAGTCATCAGCAATCCCCAGAAGCAGGGAAACAAAACAGTAGTTTGATCCAAATCAATTAGATTCAAATAGCTGTCTTCTAACTAAAAACCTAGTCTTTCAATTCTTTCTGTTCTCGCCTCTAAGCTAGTAGAGTTGTGGACTATTACCAATTCAGAGCTGGAATGCAACCATAGTCATCACAGTATAAAAAAGAAATTCAGGACTTTTTGAGAAATCTTATTAACAGACTGGAACTTCTGGGAAAAAATAAAAACAGTTTGTATTTAAATGTAAGTAACGATCCCCAGTGCATTTGCTGGTTCTATCTAAAGTCCTGATTTATCAGTCATACACTTGCAATATATTGTATGAGAAAAATAAGGCTTAAAATCAGTATTTCAGCTTACCAATTCATTCCTTTGCAATATAGTTTGTTTATTATTTGTACATCTACAAATATGTAGAAAATAATTGTATCATTTGCTTTCTCAAAATAAATATGTTTTTCATCTACCAATCCAAATGTTTCCAAAGAACTGAGTGGTTAATATCGTATCTAAAACTGTGATTATTTTAATAAACATAAAGCAAGATATTGGACTACGTATGACTCCAACTGTGAGTGATTTATAGTGATAAAAATACACAGATGCCATCTGTACCAACAGAAGAACACTCATCACAAATTTGTCTTATGGTAACACTTCCCTTTCATTTATACTGAAATGAGCACTATTTCTTTTAAAATTATATTGACAGTAAAATATGGCCACTTTTAAAATACGTAACCTAACAGTAGGAGAAATACACTGAAAATTATGAATTAAAATACTCATTAGATTTGTTCAAGGCCTCCACGATATATCATTGAATGCCCACCAAATACTAAGCTAAGTATGCCAGACTAGCTACACTAGTTTAGTAGCTGCTTCCATACTAAGAGTTTCTGTTGGGTGTAACACCCCTAACCTCTCCCAAAGAAAATCAAAATGAAAACATACCTCAACCAAAATGGCAAAAGCTTGAAGTTCAGAACCCAGCCTAAGTCATTAGTCTGACTTCATCAGCTTGTCTATGGTATGTCTGCCAGCATCTTTGCCAGTTCAGCATTAAGCAAGAGGGCCATGGGGTATGCACCAGGGAAACTAGGGCAGGTAGTGAGAACACAGTGATAAATATCAGTCAACTTCAAATACTAACAGCAAGATCAAAAGAAAAATAGAATTTAAATAAAATCTGCACACAGAGAACTTCATTAGCAGCAGTTGCAAAAACAAAGATATGATACCCAAAGCATTATTAATTTAAATACCATGCACCAGATACTGAGAGTTTTGAGAATGGTGAGGATTACCATCACCCATATAAGTGTAATAAACCAACAGCAAGTGCAGTGTGCAGGAGAGGCTCTAGCTTGGTTCCTCTGTCAAGGATGCACAGCCACAGCTGTGTTATCTTTGCCTTGCATTCTCAGTTCTGTATT